TCACCCCCTCCCCCCCCTCCACCCCACTTCCACACAATTTTAGATGAATAAACACTCGACTCAAGCTCTCCTTAACTTTTGCGACAATTTCATGACTCCACAATTAGAGACCACCGGAAATTAAAATTTTGAAGGTAGGTATTAAGACTCGGGCCTGAGAAATCATCCATTTAAGGCAAAATCTGGGTAGCTTTTTTAGCTCTAAATTTGGTTCGTTCTTATTCATACTTTCGTCATTATTTACGGTTCAACTTTTCTATAGCACTCATTTTATGAACGAATTTAATCACGATTGTTTTAAAAATGTTTCCAAGAGTGAGTGACACGTAGTTTTAACTCCTCTTTAAAGTACGCACACATTTATTGTATCATTGAGAATTTGTTAGCCAAATACCACACTGTCAAGCGAATGTTCAACGACGCTAGCCCATTTCTCCGAAATCGATTTCATATTGCACCCATAGCACCTACCGATTCGAAACGAAATTTTATTGATCAGTGGATCAATCGTTACAAAAAAACAGAACGTTTTCATCAAAACTTAATTCAGGGGGTTGATAGAATATTTTATATGAGAGAGTGGTACGATTTCCTGCGTATCCACGTATCCGTAACTCTAATAATACATAAGAATTTTATACGTATTGATTGTGGGAATTTACTGGAATAGGTTACAAGATGGGATCATTATAACGCAAATTGAATCCAGGTTAACCGTTGTTTCATTAAGGTGCAGTTCATGTTCCGAAATTCAAATTTCCGATTCCTGCTCTGTTATTAAAGTGAATTCTCTACCTCAACGTCCATCTTTTATTGGCTCCGATCTAGAAGATTCAAGTTGGTATTTTTGATAATGAGATAGAAATGAATTAGTCAAAGTGTTGAAATTAACAGAACTTCTCAAAGCGCCCTACCTTAAATATAACTACTGTTTTTCAAAACAAAGGTAGCCTTTTATTGGATAAAATCGATTTCTTTCAACTATCAACAGAAGTAACTATGACATCATCGCCTTGGACAGTGTTTCATTCAATCGGATGTTATGCTTAATTCACACAAAATGTTTCGACGTTACTGCACAACGTTCTTTGGGTGCTTTTCCAATGCTGTAGGAGATAAACGATTGCCAGGATGCGTTAAAAAATCGATGAAATCCCAAACTGGTAAATAGGATTTCAAGGGTCATAATTGTGACACAATTCGTTATGTGTCAATAAAATTAAATGAAAAAACTGCGTTATAGAAATATAAACTTGTCAAGAAAGTGGTAATAATTGGATAAATAAAGGACAATCAAATTTTTTATTGGAATGCATATTTTTATCGTACTGGCAATTTGCAATTTATAACTTGAATGGCGACAAGCGTAACATTTTTCATCTTTTATTGTTTTAAATCATAAAATATTTTATCATTATTTGAATTGAACG